CACTTTCCCTGATCTTACCCTTGTTGAAATACTTGTAGAAACCCTTTGCATCCCTTGCTAGCTGCAGCTCCAACTGCGTTTTGGCCATCCTCATTTCATCCTTGTATGTCTGAGCAATGCTCTTATACGCCTCCCTAGTCACCTATCTAAGCTTCTACTTCTTGTAAGCTTCCTTTTTGTGTTTTAGTGTACTGAAGAGTTTCCTGTTAAGCCCAGCTGGTCTTCTACCATATTTGCTAGTTTGGTTTGTTTCTGCTGTGCTCTCAGTAAGGCTTTTTTAAAGTACAACCAGTTCTCCTGGACTCCTTTCTCCCTCAGACTGGCCTCCGAGGGGATCCTGCCCATGGGTTCCCTGAGTAAGTCGAAGCCTGCTTCTCTGAAGTCCAGGGTCCTTAAGCTGCTGCTCTCCTTCTTCTTTCCTCAGAATCATGAACTTAATCATCTCATGGTTGCTGATGCCCAAGTTGCCATCCACTACTCTTCCCTGTTTGTGAGCAGCAGGTCAGAAGAGCATGGGCCCTAGGTGGCGTCTCCAACACGTGCACCAGGAAGTTATTGACACCATTCTCCAAAAACTTCCTGGATTGCTTGTTCACTTCTCTGTTGCCTTCCCAGCAGATTTCAGGGTGATTTGATGTCCCTCATGAGAATGAGGGCTTGTGATCAGGGAACTTCTGTTAGATGTTTGGAAAAAGCTTCAACCACCTCATCCTCCTGGTCTCGTTGTATATAGCAGACACCCACCACTGCTTGTTGCTCTCCTCTCTAGCCCTAAACCAGAAACTTTCAACAGGCCTATCTCCAGTTTCATACTGGAATGCTGAGCAATCATATGGCTCTTTAACATACAGCACAGCTCCTCTTCTTCTTCCCTGCTTGTCCTTTCTGAAGTTTATACCCATCCATAACAGTGTTCCAGTCATGTGAGCTACAGTCCCACCAAGTTTCTGTTATTCCAGTCGCATCATAGTTCTGTAACTGTGCGAGGACTTCCAGTTCTTCCCAGGCTCTGCATTCGTGTGCAAACACCTGAGGTAACTAGTCAATTTCCTTGCTTTCTCGGGAAGGATGTGAAGGGCTCCCCTGTTGCCTCCTCCTACTTGTGCTTCTTTCAGGTCACCCACTTTCACACTTACCTTGGCTTTGGTCTTCATCCCTGGCAAACCTAGTTCAAAGCCCTCCTCACTAGGTTAGCAAGGCTGTCTGCAAAGATGCTCCTCTCTATCTTCATGAGGTGAATCCCATCTCTTTATAGCAATGCTTGTTCTTGGAACAACATCCCATGGTTGAAGAAGCCAAAGCTCTGGTGACACCGTCTCTGCAGCCATACATTGATCTCTAGGATGCTTTTGCTCTTCCCCTTTACCTGAAGGATCTAGAAGAACACCACCTGTGCCCTTGTTCCCTTCACCTTTGCCCTGTAGTCACTTTTGATCTGCTCAGGGTCACCCCTGGCAATATCACTGTCACTCACATGCATGAGCAGCATAAAGAAGCAGTCAGACGGTTGGATGAGTTTCAGTAATCCTGTGACATCTTAGATTTCAGTGCCGCTTTGGAGATTCAGCCATAGACTAAACAGGCGGCAGTCCTCAATGCTGGACACAGCTGCCTCCAGCTGATAAGTTTGTGGTGGGTGGAGAGGGGAGGGAAGGGGCGTGGAGGGGGGACAGATCAAGGCCCCCACAGTGAGGGAGGGATTGGGGCTGGGGCTGGGACCCGGGCTGGGGCAAGCACTGCCAGGGGAGGGGGTGGGGTGGCTTGCACTGCTGCGCTCCTCCGGTCTGGGACCTGCTTGTGTGGTGGCTTGTCCAGTGGCTCTCACCACTGCTCCTGCCACCAGCCCAGGAGGGCATGGGGTGGGGGCGTGTGCTCCAGGATCTGTGCAGGTCAGGCAGGGCTGGGGCTGCACTGGGAGAAAGGTGGAAGGCACTGGGACCGGTGGCTATGCTCCCCCTGCTGCTTGCCCAGCTGGTGCAAGGCCGGTGTGAGACTGAGCCCTTGTGCTGCCTCTGGATGAGCAGTGGCTTCACCCTGGCTGGCCGTGCAGCAGCAGTGGGGGGGGCAGCGCGGGGCGTGTGCCTCTGGATCGGGGCAGGCAACGAAGCGGGGCCTATGGGGGGGCTGCAGCAAGTTTTTGGGTGACACATGCCCCTCAACCATGCCCTGCTGCCGCTCGCTTAGCCGGTGCAGGGCTAGCACAAGACTAGACTCACTGCGCTGTCTCCAGACGA